TCCATGATGTTATATTTTTTCCAAAATTGCACCAAACAAACATAGATTTAAAGAATATACACGTTTTTGCCACCTTTTTCTGATTGGTTCATGTTTGTAAATAATCTTATTAGATATGAATTAATGAAATGCCGCGATAATTTAAATCAGCATAAATTTTTAGCTTCTTTTACGTTTTGAGCAGCCCCGTTACATCGAATCAGCATTAAGCGGGGTCTTACTTTGTGTGTGTATATATATCACATATTTTCATTCCATAAACAAAATTCTAAGTAATAGTTTTGTGGAGAGGTAAAAGAAAAAATGTTCATTGGTTATTTAGAACTACATAAGTAATATTAAGAGTCATAGTATGAGAGATTATAGAAAAATAGTCATCATATGACTACATAAATTTTATCTGATGTCACATCAAAAGTGATAGCATCAACTAGTTTGCACCAGGCTTTACATTTTCTTTACAGCCATAAAATAAGTACAAGTTATCCAACAATTTTAATATTTATTAATGATGACAAAATTTTTTGGGATGCAATTTGAGAAAATTGTAGACCTATAACTTCTCACTGTCATCTGTCTAGCTGTCTTTCCCTAATCTCAAGAATGGAGTTACAGATGAAGGACAAGACCAGATATGGAAATCTTAGGAGGCCCCAATTAACTACATATAAACTTCCAATGCAAACCGAAATCATGTTATTTCAAATCAAAAATTTTCCCCCAAAAGGTATTATATAGATGACTGGCATGACTCTATTCTTAAAGTAAGTGTATGTACAGGGTCAAGCCACTACTAATTTAAGGTGGAGACCATGTGTTTTAAATTAAATTGAAAATATGTTTAAAATTGAAACCTGGAATTGTGACAATGTCACAATAAATAATTGCTCATTATAAATTAAATTAAAAATTCAACAGTAAAACAATTTATTGACTCACTTGAATCATTTCAGCTAACATTTCTACATTTTTAAAAATTGTTAACCAAAATTCTGGGATCCCGTTGATATTTTCTGTAAATAAGAAAACATTTTAATTATCTATTAATTTGAAATATAGTCTATTTTAACAAATATTTTAAAATGAAAATTCAAGTTTCATAATAATTATTAATTTTAAATAGTCAATAAGCCCAATTTTATAAATGTGTGTTTGTGTACCTATGATTTTTTAAGTCATGATTTAAAAATGCAATAATCATCAATACCAACATCAAGTTTAATTAAAAACTTATGATAATTTCTAACTTAAAAAAAATATTTTAAACTAATCTGTACTGTAATTTTTTAATAAATTGGCAACCCATATTTAGTAAATCTTTTATAACACCATGTTAAAAAAAACTCTACAAAAACATGATTTAAAAGAATTTTTATACTATTTAGTATTATCTTCACACCAATGTTAAAGAAAAAAAAATTTAAACTAAAATTAATTTGACAATTGTTTTTTAAAAGTAAAACAAACTGTATAATTATAAAAACTTATATACTATATAGCAAAGTTTTTTAAACACTTATTCTCATTTTTGCTTCTTCATTTATTATCTGCAAAAAGCTACCATCATACTGAGAAAATCTGTACAGGATGTTTCAAAAAAGACAACTCCTCACATCTGGTGAGTCCAACCTGAGATGATAACTTTCTTGCAGATTTTCTGGATGAGCACACTAAACACAGATTCCCATCTTCAAGTTGGCAGTTAACAGTGATGGCTGGTAAGGAGTCAATTCCAACCTATTCTATTTTTGTTTGGGGATTATCTTTAATTTGTTATTCTATTCATTTTGGGGCATTTTATTTCATTAAGGATAGACTGCTGCACCTTACCGAGGCAAAATTCAAATTGACTCACCTTACTACAATGACTGCTGGCAGCAACTTTTGACGTCATCAACCCAAAAATGACATCTCAGGAGAGACTTCCACAGGAAATAAAAAAAAATGATCTCCCACTCCAAATTGTCATTGGAAATGCAATAAAAAATTATAAAACTACTTGTAAAGGAGATGACATGAATTAATAAGACCGATTACTAGAATTAAGGTGTTAACAAGTATTATGTAAATAGGGTCAAGTGAGCATATGCTTGTAAACATCACACCAACCACACTAAGAAAGATGAATTGAAGAACTGAACAAGATGATGCTAAGGATTGAATGAGATTGACAAATGCTTTCCAGTTCCAGTAATGTTTTTTTGGTGACAGACAAATTAGTAAGATTCATTGCGTTTTATATATATATATTTTTTTACATATTTTGCATGTTGGTTTTTGTGGAGATGGTTGTAGCTTAAATCTGTTCCAGTTGCACGTCTGTTAAGTGAAAAGTCCATTATACGAAATGCATTTTCCAATAGAAATACATGTTAAAACATATAATTTGTTCCGAAGCATAAAATAACCGTACTGTACCATAAAAAAAATGAAAATGGAGCAGTCACCAATTATGCCGGGTAGTCAGATGTTGTGAGGAGGAAATGGAGGAACACTTTCTTCACACATTCATACAGACAGACACTTTTCACACATTGCAGCAGGTCTCTTTTTATTGTTTTTTTAATCGGAGTCAGATTCAGGAGAAGCTACTGGAGCTTGCAGGGTCATCCTATGTTTTGGCAGCTGGCTTCTTGGAAAACATGTCCAAGGTGGTCTGTTTCTCTCTCTTCTTCAACACCTGTTGGAAATGATGGGCAAGGGTGTCATTGTAAAGATCATTGATCCTGTTGGCCTCAGCTCTGTTTGGATAATGAATGTTGGCAAACTGTTAAACCTCTCCCCATTTGACAAGGAAGATTTTGTCAACTTTCACTCCTTCTGATGATTTCTTGCTTTGGTTCAATTGAAATCACCTTTCTGCTTTTTTAGAAGCCACGATTTGCACAACACTTGAATAAATGTAAATACCCTGCACTGAGGCGATGTACGTAATAAACAAGGGAGCAAGCTGAATTCCAACGGGAGCTCTGTATAAGATATACTAATAATATATTCTAATAATACTAATATATTATAAAAATAGCAGATTGCCATTGGCAATGGCAAAAGAGTGGAAATATCATTCGTACTTGTTCACAGAAAGTCCGTTGTGCGTCTCACGTAACTGACAAATGGAAAGTCTGTTGTTCGCAGCCAGTCCATTGCTCGAGTCACATAACGGCCAAACAGAAAGTCCATTGTTCACAGCATCCATTATACGAGGTACCACTGTATTTGTTTGGTTTTTGATAAATTATCTTTATTTGCAAGTTATTCTCTAACATTATTTCTTGATTGTACATATTCGGGCTTTTACTAATAAATAGATTTATTTTTGCATTATATATAGTAATTATTTTGGGTTTTGGCATTAATAACCATTTTCCATTATTTTATTGCCCATGCAAAGTCCAGGCCTGGCACTTTCAAACCCTTTGTTTATGTAACACACAAACTATTATCTGGGGTTTTGAGTTGATAGATTAAAAATGACATTACAGCAAGCCTGGAATCTTTCAATCATATACAGACTCGGGCATGAAATTTATCAATCAAATAAAATAATATCAATTTGTTGAGAACTGTAAACCGAGAAAACTTCAATGTAAACTCCTCTCACACAAAATAAGTCTCGACAATAAATATACATGTGTCTTTAGAAAATGACATAACTGATACAACACAAACAAATGATTGCTTAAGTTAGACTATTGTATGACAAGGTCATTTTCATCAGAGACTGTTAATGTCAAGTACAATGTCACTACACAACTAACATTATGGCATAAAATGCACATAAGTTTGCTTTCTTTTCTTTTAGGGTTGCATCCTTTTTGAAAACATCCTGTAAATGAAGTTTGTATCTGTTTATAAGTGCTTGGATTAGTTAAATTGATAGGTAATTGTTAAAAAACTAACTATGCAATTATTATGACATCATTTTAGGTTTTTTAATAATTACATATCAATTTAATTATTCCAAGTATTTCCTAGAATACAGAAAAAGTTTACTTCTAAAAAATTTGATGAAAACTAATCTATTCTAATTTGAATTAAATCTTATCAATTAGCTTATCCAGAATTCAAATAATAAAACTAATAATTAAACTATTTACACAGCATTAAATATTTAAATACCATTTTCATCTTTTCCTTCATTAATTTCATCAGCTTTATCTTCCAAAGCAGTCTTCTTTTTCATGTCATCCTATCGAAATAAATTAACATTAAAAAGGTATAATCACATAATTTACATATACAGTATAACTAAACTGGCCATTTTGTATCAAAGAGTACAGTCTTTTATAGAGGAATTTAACGACATTTTTTAAGAACATCTGATGAATAATGATTGTCTACTTATCTGCACCACTACTTAAGGTAACATCATCATCAAGACTGGAGAAACAATTTTAAGAATAAATAAAGACAATTGTTAATTGATCATCTATTTGAGTTCATGTTTAACCATTAACATTTTAACAACCGACAAAGAACTCCCAAGACTGATAAGTTGAAAGTAGTTGTGATTGGAGGATTTCCTTAGATTAGCTAACTACTTTAAAAATGTTTAATTTTAAAAGAATATCAATGTGCATATTTTTAATTCTGTTCATAAAAAGTCATCTTTTGCAGAAGCAGTCTCATTGCAGAGGTAGTTAAAACCAGAAGTTTTACTCTATTCAGATTTATTAAATAATACTTTCAGCTGCATTTAAATTTTTTTTTGCTTTTAATCAACAATTTAATCAATAAATATATTTTATGATGATATACATACTGTGTACATTATCTTAAATTTTTTCCCAATCTAGAAAAATCACCATATTTTCAATTTCATCAGTATTTCTATTCCAAGAACAATTTTCACAAAACATGAGACCAATAATCATAATTCTGTTTACAGAACAATTTGAACTAAAACAGTTCATTTGGCACATGAAGCTGTAAAAAATAGAACTGTTTTTCAATCTCATTTTTCCAGCTGTTATAGAATATAATATAGGAAATGTATGGTTATTGGCCAAATTCCAATCTATCATTTTTTGCATTTCAACATCTTGTCACTCAAAGAGTCTAAGAATGTTTAATTAAAAAACTGCTACATAATAAACACATGCAATTTTATATGTATATACAGACACACACACAAATCTATGTGCAAGCATGCATCTATTTTGCATTATATCTCAGAACTGGATGAACAAAAACTTTTGAAACTTAGCAGGGTTATTTCTATATAAGGGGTATTGATGCTATTAAATTTTGGTGGTTAAAGGCCAAGAGGATGGAAAGATGTGGGTTAAAATTCTCAGTATTAGCATTTACAATTTTCAAAACACATTATTACCCTCAAAATTAAGCCTTTTGCCTTATAATAATAATAATAAAGTTTTTAAACTCTCTCAACACATGGTGGTTCAAACAATTTTAACTTTGTGCTAATGTGTCTTAATGTTTAAAAAAAACATTAAAACACATTAAAGAAATCTCAATTTAATAAAATTACCCCTTTTAAGCTTTGTTGTTATTTAAATTCCAATGAACCCTTTAACCTCCAGTTTGAGTGCTGGAAAAGTGGAGCAAGCAGCTTTGGCAGCTTTTAATTTTTTTAAAGCTATTATTGCTTTTATAAAGTAACCAAAAGATTTAAGTTTGATCTATTGAAGTGGAAGAATTGAATTTTTATGAAATTAGTACTGAGACATGGACAAGATTCCAATGAGAGCACTACATTTCTGTATCTTTAAACATGAAAACATTTATCATCAATATTTTGTTAAATTATGGCTAAACTGATAATGAAACTTACACAAAGATCATCTTCATCTTTTTCTGTATCAGAAGGAAAATCACACTCATCATCTGTGGGTTCAACAGCTGCTGATGTAATCTGACTCCTCTAAAAATTTTGAAAAATTAAAAGTTAATATTAAATAAATTTAATGCATACTAATAAACTGCATTTATCATGACTTTTTACAGTAACTATCACAATCAAAATTCTCCCCTATTATCAAAAACCAAAGGAATATATATGAATGGTCCTTATCATTTACCACAAATTCACACATTTCAGAAAAACTGCTGAAATCCAATTAGTTACCTGTTACCAGTTAGTTTCCTGTAGTCACTTTAGTAATTCCTGAAATGATTAGTATAAGGAGGCACAATGAATTTAGATTGGTGTATTGATTTTTATCAAAATCTCAATCTTACATTTACAACAAAAATGTTTTCTGTAATTAAAAACGAATCAAATCAAAATTTTTTAAATCGATAAAATTGAAGTATTATGTTCATATTAATGATGGGACAATTAATTGAAATTGGAAAAGTAGGAAATTTTCCAGTAATTGGAACTGAGAAAATCTCATCACGATTTCAGATTCTTAAAATCGATTCTTCCACATTTAATAAGAAAATTTTTGTTCCAGTTGAAGATTAAAAATTTTTAATTATGACATTAACAATTAAGTATTACTTTATTAGAAATTTCACATTGACAAAGCAGAGTTTTCAACATCTCAAGCATGAGGTGATGTCTGTCATGGTGGACTTTTCTTTTGTGTAGTCAAAGCAATGAGAAATTGCACTTGGCCAGTACTAACTGTTCCTATTTTATGGGAGATGTTACATAAAATTATTTTTAATATTCAGTAAGGTTTACTTATAATGATAAAATGACTCATTATATCTAAAATGTTTTTATGATTTACAGATAATTTTGTAGTACATTAAATTTTCAAATGCAATATGCGTGATTCTAAGTAAAAATAGTTGTTTGCACTAAGATTATCGCCATTTTCAGTTTTAAAAATTTCATTTGATTCTTCCTTTCCTAGAAAAAAGTTCATGCAATCGTAATTTAGGAAAACACGGCTCAAGTAATTGAATTCAGAACTTGGTTAACTTGTGATGATAATGATATTTATTCAGCTCATTCCAAACCTCATTTAGTGTTAAATACAATGGAATTAAAACATTTATAGGGCATGCAAGAAGCATGAAAAAAGAAGTGCATCTTCTCGTTTACCTTCCCCTCCCCAGTCATCGTATTGGCCAACAAAGCACTTTTCAAAAATGGCAACCCTAGATGACATGATGGGATAGTTCTTTGAGTGTAAGTGAATTAGCCATAATTTCTTTCAGGGTAGTATTGCAATATTAACTTTATCTGAAATAAGATCAAATTTATTTTGTAGTAAACAATAAAAGCATGCATATCCACATATAAATGGAGAATTTTCAGGTTTCTTTTGAAAAACTGATTCTGGATTTTCCAATCATTTTCCATTCTTAAGCTTGATGTCAAGCTTAAGAATGGAATGTAACATGCTCATAATGTAAATCATTAATTTTCCTAAATTAAAATAAACTTTAGGAAGTATTCAAGAGAATCAGAATCAATATTTTTCAGCAAAATCTGAATTGTGACAAATTTTGGTATTGTCCCATCACTAGTTCATATTTAGATATTATTGTATTGGCAAGAAAGCATCTCAAAAAGCAACAGGCATTCAAAAACCAATCACTTATTTACCACTGTATCTAGCATTTTATCTTATGCATATTACATCAATATTTTAATACAGGTATCCCTCATATAACACTGTTTCACTCTAACACAGTTTGAAAATTGGGGGATATTCCCCCATATAACACAACTTCTGGTTCTAATCTAACATGGTTTTAGAAATCCTGTGCATAAAATTTCATAATTTTTAAGTGTAAACTTCATTATTCAATATTTTTTTTATTCAAGTAAACACACACACACACATTATCTCAAACTTGCCCATGGATTTTAGAATATTGAAATTTTCAAATTTTGTGCTTTTCATCAGGTTTACTTTAATGAAATCTGATAGGACAAGAAAGTAAAAAAAATTGTGATAACTTTCCTATCAACCAGGTATAGTAGTTGTTGCTTTCAGACTTTAGCCCTTACGACGGTCATTGTGTTTTCCTTCTTTAAATTAATCTTTGTATTTAGTAAAGTTTATTTAAACATTTTTAGATAAATGTTATTAAACCATAGGTATTGCTTATATATGAATGAACTAATCATTTGTAAATATAATAAATGAAATACAACAGTATCCCAGTACTTGAACAATTCAGTGTTTGAACACAAAAAGTTGCTTGGCACTCAACTGAACAAATTCAATCCTCAAACAAATTTTCAATTATTAACATTTTTATTGTCATCCATAAAAATTTTTAATGATAAAAATAAAAAATACAAAAATGTTGCTGATACTTCTGATTGAGATCAACAAAAAAGCTGAGATAATAGTACTTTATAAAAAGAAAACATCCTCATTTAACTAAAATAATTAATGCATCATAAAATATTTTAAATTGTGATTATTAATTATGAATTGAAAATACAGTAGAGCGTCGTTTATCCGAAAGCTGGTTATCCGAAACGTCCGTTATCCGAAAGCATTCCAGTCGGCAAATTTAAATTTTCGCTAGTGCTGTGGTGCTGCAATCTTCGGCTATTTCTCAGGCTACTCAAATATTTTACGTTTTTGATACTAAATTAATATCTGAAGTATAATTTTTTATTGTTTTTATATTTTTCAATAAATTTATTTTGTTTGTACAAAATAAAAAAAATAATTTTTAACGATAAAATAGTCTTCGTTAGGCTTAACATCGACGAAAATTCAACGCGAAGCGACACCCAACTGAGAGAAATTTCAACACGGGATAAGTTAATATATTTTTTCGTACATGATTTGTTATCTGAAAAATAAGTTATCCGAACCACCCCAGTCCCTAATTGATTCGGATAAACGACGCTCTACTGTAAGTTATTGATTGCTTTAATAAATATATTTCTCTTAGTAATGAAAAAGAATAGTATACTTTTGCTAACTTCTAGAACATAACCCTATGTTTTGCATTAGTCCTTTGTTTGGTTTAGCATGGATTCGTATAAGATGGTACTTTTTTGGAATGTAACTACAGTATTATATGTGGGATACCTGTATTTGTAAAAGCACACAAAACAGCATAGTTCAATTGTCAAACATTTATTTTTAGTTATTTTAAATTGTTTATATTTAATTATTCATTTATATATTTTTTTTCTTCCATTTATTAACCATAAATGAGTAACATTTATTTCAAGTAATTCTTTCTGTTGAAAGACTAATCCATTACAGATGATTATCTATTAAAAATATCAAAAATGTTTGCCATTTAAACTACTTTCACTGTTAGTTTTTTTTACTGTAAATAAAAATTTAATCAATTTTGAATTAATTTTATACTCTATAATAAACTGGAAATAAATAGAGTTGTACTGAAGACAAAATTTACTACTAAAAATATTATATTTTGTTTGTGTGATAAGCAAAATATTATCTTTCAAAATTAATTAGCGCTTCTTTAACAGTGCGTGAAGATGAAATGTTTTCAACCCAGTTAATCCATCTTCAGGCCATATTCTGAAAAAAATACATGAAATGTAATATAGTACCACTATAGTGTTAGTATAGTATACTGGGATGATACACAGATTCCACTTTCATCTGTCTACACCCAAAGATGGTCCATTAACTTGGTCAAAAATGTTAATATTTCTTCAACCTCACCCACAGTTAAAGATGAATTTTTTTAATTCAGCATATTAACTATGCATTAGCTTATCCTTACCTTTTCAAATAAAGGTGCATAGATCTTTGCATATTTACATTCAAGTGAATGTACTTCTTCATAAAATTTTGCTTCATGTTTTGTATACTCCAACTGTAACTTCTTTAAAGCTTTTATTCTACGTTTAACTGCTTTTGGTAAGCTAAAAGCAATAAATTACATTAAGAACTTATGACGCACAATTTTAATAAAATCTTATTTTGTAATCTGAAAAACAATCTGAGTTATTGAAATTGACTTAAATATTAAAAAAACGGATTATAAATAGCATAAATAAGGTTATCATGTAGATGTTTGAAATTACCTAACATTTTTACTACTTGACAGAAATCTTACATAAAGTAGTAGTTCATTAATCCAGTACTCTTCGGCAGTATAAATTTGGTATACTACATATACTCTACATTGTATTGTGTTGAATGAACATTTCTTTGTTATAATTAGCACATGTTTTGTATTCAATAAAATTCATGACAGATGTGTTTCCCTTCCCATGGACCAATGCAAGGGTAACACTTAAAAGAGCAGATCTCTCATTCTGAACTTGTGTAGCTGTTGTAAATAGTACATATATAGTACATGGCTGGAAAATATTGATAATTATATGCTAAACCTAATACATTCCAGACTTACACTAAAGCATACAGCTGGTAAAAAATGTATAGCAATGTCTGCAATATTTAAATCATAGACCTTTATTAAATTTTGTAATAACTAAAAAAACATCCTATAATCTGGCACCACTCTGGTTCTACAAATGCCAGATTAATGAACTTAAGACAATATACTATATTTTATACTGATAAATTTGCCATATTCAAAAACAATTTTTTGTATTGTGTAATTTTCATAGTTGTACAATTTTATAAATATTTAGAAGTCCATTTATAAATAGACATGAAAAAAGCTTCCATACTAAATTAAAGCTTTAAGTTTTGAGGGCTCAAAGTACATTTAAAATATTTTAGCTTATTTGTAAATGTTTAAGATACTTCAAAGAATATTGGCTAACACAATAGAAAAATAACTTATTAAATATTCTGAATTAAAATAAATTATTTCTTATTGAATTTGTAAATTTGTAAGCTGGAACTAACATACAACACAGAAAAATCACACTTCACCACACTTTTCAGCAGTAACTATGTATTAAACATTTTCAGTACAGCCTGGGGCTTTGTTGTCATTGAGCAAGTGTAATGCCATCCTCTCGCTCAATGACAACAAAGTCTCAGGCCTTGACAGCATAACTACTAGGATGATAAAACATGCATTTTAGGGCATTCCAACTGCTTTTGTTATTTTCTTCAACACGTGCCTGAACACTGGCCGTTTTCCTTCTCAGTGGAAAAGGACTAGTGTCAAACTTACCCCCAAACCCACCAGTGCTAACACTTATAAGAAATACAGATCAATCTGCCTTCTCCCTACTTTGTGAAAAGTGTTAGATGATGTCATGATTAATAGGATCACTTGGTATCTATGCAAATGTAGGGCCGTGCATGAGAAGTCCGTGCAGTTCAGCTTCTCTAAAGACAAAGGCATAGTAGATGACATTAAGGTGTAGGATAGAGTTGTAGGTAATGTTCCAGAGTTCAGGACCAGACCTAGATTCCTGAGTGACTGGATGAAAATGTTATGTTGAATTGTATAAACAGCTGCACTCCTGTCAGTAAAATAAGACTGAAGAAGTTTGTAAAGATTTTTGACGGCAGTGATGATTGCGTAAGGTATGCAAGATAGAAAGCCACCACATGTGATTATAGTGGTGTGTTCATTGATTTTCCTAACCTGGTAATAAGTACATACTCAACAACACCTTGCCTTCTGGTTGCTGCACCCAGCACTATGTGGATGGCACTATCATTTTAGCTTCTCACAGGAACAGCAATCATTTACAAGACATATGCAACAACCTTCTTAAAACAATTCACCACTAGAACATTTTGCATAATCAGCCTATTAACACAGACAAATTAGAAAGTAGGATTATTGGTAGGGACAATCTTCTCATCATAAAACTGACCAAGCATTTAAGAGCACATAGTATAAAGCAGACAGAGAAAATTAAATATTTGGGTGTTATTCTTGATAAAATTAACTTCACACCCCACATTAAATACATCACAGACAGCTAAAAAGATGGCCAATGCACCTGCTAGTATTTCCAGGAACACTTTGGCCTAGGTCCCAGCACTACCAAACTGGTAGCTTTATAAGAGGGCCATTCAACCTGTCCTCCTTTATGCCATACAGGTCTGGGTCATGAAACTGCCAAAGTACACAACAGATGTAAACTATTATCTGTCCAGAGAATTTCTGCTCTCTACATCTGCAATGCATACAGAACTACACCCATTAGGGCTTTATTAGTACTGTCAGATTTGACACTTATAGATTTAGAAATTAAGAAGATTCATTTGGAAGGAGAACCTCACCAACATCACCTGGAAAGATTATAACAAATCAGATGTTGCCAAAATTATAAAGGAAGGTAAGATTCCTCCTCATCTAGCTCTGCTTGATGACCTAAGAAAATCTGGCATAGATAAAACAACCCTCCCTACTTACAACTATCATACCTCTAATCAGTTTGCCCCAGACGTTTACTTTGATGATCTGAAGGATCACCCAATGTTTATAATTTACACTGATGGGTCCAAAATTCGTGAAGAGGTGGGTGCTACATTTGTAGTTTACTGATTTATACCACAAGCTTACTCAAGCATGCTTCAAATTAGGTCAACTCTGTCCAATCATTCAGGCATAATCATTTATATGAGTTGATGACAAACTTTTGTTTTGTCTATGATTAGGCATAGACAAGACAAAAGATGCTTTGTACACTACTGCATAAGCTCAGATAGTAGAATAGCTTTACACAGGATAGTTAAATCCAATAGTTGCATTAAACTTATGCATTTCATACGTTAAATTCTGAGGCACTTAAATAACATTAATGTAGATTTTCAATGGGTCCCAGATCACGCGGGAATCCTAGGAAACAAAGCCGCTGACCATCTTGCCAAATCAGCTGCTAAGTCTACAGTCATTAGCACTTTCCGTTATATTCCTACTTCTTACATTGACATGCATGTCAAACAACAAATTACCATTCTCTAGCAAGACAGCTGGGACCATGACACTACCAGTAGGCTGACCTATACTTTTATTCCCAAGGTTGACACTATTGCAACTCTTCCACACTTTACCCCTAGCTTAGCTCTCATGCAGCTTCTTACAGGCAAGGCAACTTCAAGCACTATCTTGGGGACAGCCTGCATTGCAAAGGTGGACTGCATAAGGACAATGCTTATCCACTTAATTTTCCCTTGAAATAGATACATGAACATTAGGGATAGCTTATTTAGAGAGGCAATTTTTGAGGGATACAACTGGCCTTGCACACCACAGCAACTCGTCTAAACATGTACTATATACCATCGCTTACTTTCATTCATATCCCACAGCAAAGCTTTTGTGGTCCATGAATGAAAGTTAATGAATAAATATATAAGAATAAATAAATTTAGTTAGTAAAGTTAAATTTAAGTTACACAACACACAGGTTTCCTTGTTCACATTGTATAATTCCAGTTAAGGTTAACTGTACAGGTAGTTCTTTTGTGTCGTCTCGTTTCTTTGTAGTTATTGGGTTCTGCTTTGTTTATCTTCCATTGCTCTTCATGTTGTCTTTAGTCTTCAATAATAATGATGATAAAAATTGGAGTCTTGTTATTGCATGCTCTAGTCTGTCTGGTTGTTGTCCTTGTCAGTATTCTTGTTTAGTTAATTAGTTAGTTTTAAGATATAGCTATATCTTAAATCTAACTTACTACTAACTTTAGTCAGTAAAGTTAAATCAGAGCTGTGGAGTCACATAAAAGTCTACTGACTCCAACAACTTTGCCTTACATCCGACCCCAACTCGGGGCAGACTTGTTATCAAAAGAGACCCAGAAATTCTGATGTCATCACAAATAAAAGATTCAATAAATAGAGTTCTAATAAAGATAGAATGTAGAAACTTTTTTATTCCAAAGCTAAAAGACTCCTCTAATGAGACAGTCAATATATAAATATGTATTCAATAATTTTTACATTTCTGGCTGTTATATATAACAGAGGGTAAGTGTAGCACTTGGTTAAAAAAAATGACCCCTCCCAAATTTTATACATTTTTGACTCAGGACACCTTGAACTTTTGAGATATAGAAAAACATCTCTAATCTTTTGCATATGTATGGATGTTAGACTGTGTGGGGACATGATTTTGTTCAACATGTTTGAAGCCTAATAATTTCTGTGGTTTTTAAATTGGAGTCAGATAGTTCAACACAGGAGTTATTAAATTACCAATATATTCACTGTTCCTTCTAGTTGTTTCAGTTAAGTTATTCTACTTCCTATAGGGTTTACTAGCTTAGTTTCCATATTGTTTTATTATTAGTTTAAAGCCTTTACTTTAGTTTTAAGCATTATACTTTACTCTGTCTAGCTATTATGTAGATGTAGTACTTATTGGTGTATGCTACAGTTCAGGTTTTCTTTTAGATCCAAGGCTTTGCAGCCTAAAAACTGCATGCCATCTTTGTATAGGAAGTGGTAACATTACATACACTGCTCAGAGGGATCCTTCTTTCCTCTTCTATCTATCTTCTCACCCTCCTTCCCATCCCCTCTTCCCACCCTTTCTTCCACTGGCTAAACACTCTGCAGCCATTGTCTTTCATTAAAAAAATAATAATCAGTATGGCCTTACAATAGTGACACCCACTTCCTAGATCTCTATATTTAGTTCAAGAATGGCCATGTTTTCCAATGTATACTGCAAACCTAATCAACAACTTTTTCTTAATACCATCAATATCTAATTGATCCCCATATTTATAAAATGGCAGCATTTAGGGCACTAATAAAAAAGAGCCCATATGCATTGCTCTAGCATTAAGGACACTATGAAAAACAAAATTAAATTAAAATCCTTACTTCTCTATATATCCAGAAGGAGTCCCAGAAATGCTTCCAAACTTTGATTGTAATGCAGCAAGAACTTCAGGATTTTTCATCATTTCAGCTGTAAGCTGACCTTTAAAATAATTATATATTATTTTAAAGGTATATATTATTGACAATAGATATTTAATACAAACAATTCAAATATTAATTTTCATATTTAAATTTATTTTAGCCTTTAATATTAAAATTCTAGGAAATTAAAACATACTAAAAAATTTTAATCTTAAAATTATTATTATTTATGGAAATTAATTATATCTCTTAACTGAATTTTAAAAAAAAAATCTATGTATATAGTGAACAACTACCCAATATATTCATATTGCCAAATAATCTGTTGGATTATCTATTGGATTATAAGTAATTATAAATCTAATTTAGATAGAGGTAGGCAGTCAAGTCAATAAAGAAATGATAAACAGCCTATCTCTAGCCAAATTGATTTGTATCTAATTAGTTATTAACCTTAATATATCCTGATAATCCAGCAGACTGTTTGGGTGAAAAATACACAAACAGTAACTAGTTTGAAATTAATTTCTATTAAATAATTTCTCAAAGTATTTTAATTTTAAAATTTAAGTGTAATTTTTAAGAAAAATACAATAGATCATCAATTATCCGAAGGTTTAATTATTCAAGCTAAATCTAAGTATTGTACACTACTTTATACTGTAATTCATAAAAAAATTTAAAACACTTATTAGAAAATTATTTGTTTGTTACCTTTTATCATTTAACTTCAATGTGAGAAACATCCATATTAAAATATAATTACAATACACATTTACATTTTATGTTGAACATAGTTACAATATACATACTTCACAAATTACTGGGGTAATTAATTAAACATGTACGAAACCATTTTATCCAGTAACAGCACTTCAATGAAAACTCTAACGTTTTCGTTGAAGTGCTGTTACTGGATAAAAAAGTTTTGTTTGTATTTACTTGTATGTATAGAATGTATTGTAAATAATGTAAAAGTTATGTATGATTAAATTACCTAAGATATAAAGAGAAGTTTAAAAGGGATATCCAATATAATCTTTTTATATTTGTAATTTTTAATCTGAAATAGCCAAGACTGTCTGTTTTATCCAAGTTTTTAGTTAAAATTTGTGTAAGCATCTTTCAAACTCAAATGTTAATTGCATAGTAGTTTTACAGAACACAGAAAGTGATTATTAAGCTTTCTTCTTTTTTTTTAAACTAAAACCAAATTAATCAAAAAGGATATTAACCATGTAAGTTTTATATTCAATTCCTTGCAATTTTTGTCAACAGAAAATACATTAGATTTTAAATGCATTTTAGGATATTTTATAATCCAGAATTGTTTTTAATTATTAATAAAAGTTGCAATCAATTACTTATTTACTAAAAACAAAAACAAATTTTGTGCTAATATAGAAATAAACTTCAAATCAGTATTACAAGCAGAGAAATTTTAGAAATGATCCTTATAATGTTTACAAATTTAGTGGTAATATGATGCACATAAAACATAGTAACTCATCATTTCAACATTTCACATTGACTAAAAATCAGGTGAGTAAACTAGATTACTAGAATAAACAGTTTAAAAAATGCACTCTGTATATTAAAATTTTTTTTCATTTTTGGCTATTTCTGCCCTGTTGACATTAAGAGGGCCTTTTCCCCTTATCCACTGCAGGTTTGCAGACCTACACACTCAGTGGAGAGAGACAAGGGACACCATCAATGAAAAAATTTATAGTTTTTCAACTACCCAGACTCAATCCCAGACCCTAAGCAGTAAGCAACTTAACCACTTTATCATCTGAAATAGTTAAGATGTTGGCTTACTGCTTGGCCATATTTAAGAATAAGAAAAGCCAAAAATTATTTTCAGATTAATAATTTTTAAAAATTATATGTTGACAGAAGATATAATTAAAATTATATTACAAACCAAATATTCAAGTAATTCTGATATAATTATATATCTGCATGAGATAATTATAAGTTAAATGCTTCAATATTATGATATAATTATATCAGAATGTAACATCTACTTTAGTTTTTCTATCCAAGATAAAAATTTCACTTTCAGAATAAATTACCAGAAATTTCAGTTCAGTAGAACTTACTTTTTTTAACATCACCTTCACCACCATCTAATTCTTCTATTTCAACATCATTACTCTCCATAGTCTCAGTAGCTCTAAAAAAATTTAAACTTTAGTGAGTTATATTATATATATTATATTATATTAAAGATAAAAATCAAACAAATGAAGTGATGAAATTAGCAGAATAAACTATATTTCATATTTATTTTTATTCATACAAATCATATCTTGCAATATTAATTTTCAAAAACTTCAACAATGTTTAACTAATAACATCACTAAAACCCAATACATTATAAAACTATAAGACAACCAATGCCGTAAGATATCAGGCTAGATAACAGCATATTTTTAAAATTTCACATTCGAAAATTTTAACAATGTTTAACATTATTTTTTATTTAATAAATTTTAACAATCAATATAATACCAAATTTACAAACTCCAATTTTTTTTTTTTAAATTGCTAAAGACAAACTCTGAAAAATTCCTAAGGAAATTTGGACTAGAGATTTGAAATTTGTCTTAACTGAATCTTTATTTTCAGTTAAGATAAATTTTAAATTTATTTTTAAATATTACTTAGATTATCATCAAGTAAAATCTTAAAATTATGTTTTCATATACTAAGTTTTTGCTTTTGATAATTTTATCACTAATTTTTCATTGCACAAATTTTAGGTTCTTGTAAATTGAGTTTTCTAGAATAAAGAAAACATTTAATTAGATTGTTAAAATCTTTTAGTAAACAGTTGTATGTATAATTTTTATATTTTGATGGTTTTAAAATTAAATAATAGTACAACTATTTAGTAAATTGCAGTTGTGTGTAAGTGTAGAAATGTGAGATAATAGCGAGGTTGAGGCTGAAGTTTTAAACACAAAAACATGTATTCGGATGTTCAGCGCTGTTTTCCTGTAAGCCTAGAAGTTTGGCAATGATGTTCGGAATGTCGAGCATGATTCCACTGACTATCCAAACACCATTGTCAAACTTCTAGGGTTACAGGAAAGCAGCACTGAATGTCCGATGTACACGTCTTCACATTTAAAACTTCAGCCTCAACCTCGCTAATAGCTTCTCATTTTAGAAATGTTTTATCAATGTGTGAACTTCATAAAAATTGTACAATTGTAGAACTAGAAGTAATATAATTTAAACAGACTTTTGCTTACTAAGTATGGATGTAATGGAAATATTTTTCAAATGCAAAATTTTAAAAATATGCATGCATTTGTTTATTTATTACAAACACAAATATTGGGTTGATGCATAAGTTTGTAGTATTTGTTTTTGATATGGCAACATTATAGTATTGGGAGTATCATTTGTCATGTGGAGTGAAAAGGTTGTGCTTATGAATATACCTTGTATTTTACAGATTTGAAGAAAGTGCTGTTTGTGGGCTAAAGATGGAGTGTCAAGTGGAAAAAAAAAATCAAATGCTTCTAACTACTCCTACTTAACAGAGAAATAAAGGCAATTGAGATGGCTCAAAACATTTGTGCCATGTATGGGAAGAATGCCACTGGGAAAAGCACAGCAAAACAGAAAAAAAAAGGAAAAAGAAAAAAAAAAAAAAATAGTTTTGTCATTTCAGAGAGACCACTTTGACCTAAGTGATTCACAATCAGAAAGACCATCAGGTTTTGGTAAGAACTACCCCAGCATTGGCTGACGGTCATAAATAATGCAGCAGAATATATTATGAATTAGTTTCTGTCTTCTGTTCATCTCAAATAATTAGCAAATAAAAACTTGAAAAACTTAAAAAGATTCAAATTTATCAACTCAATACAATTAATATTCACTGTTGACAAAAATTTTTAAATAAAAATATATTTTTTTTGCAGATTTTTATTTTACGTCACAATACAATATAATAAAGACACTTACAAATGACAACCACTGATACCTTAAAATTTCATAATGAATCAAAAATAAGTTTATATAATATTTATACTTAAAAAATCTGAATATAAGAACTTTTGTATGTTTAACTTACATTCTATACAATAACAAAGATATGTTTAAACTATGTATAAAGAGTTACCAATGAATAAAACAGTGAAACAATTTGTTTTTTTATTTCATCTAATTTTTAAAAATTTTACTTGTCTTGTAACTAATTTTTGAGCAAAGAGCAAATGTTAATATAATGGAAAATATTTCTAAAAGACAAATTTAATAAAACTGTATATCAATGTTAAAATTTCATCATCTTATTTTTTAATAATACATTTAATGTGAATACACATAGTCAAAATTTTTTTAATTCAAAATTTTTTTAATTCAAAAAGGATATTGATTTAATTACTGTATTAGTTGAAAATTTTTCTAGTATTAATAGTTTGTTTCATGAACAAAATATTTCTAGTGTGCACATTATTATTATTATTAGATTTTTTGCAATGAAATTATGTCTACAAAATTATAATGAAGCTACATTTAAAACTGAGGTAAAGAATACATATTCCCATTAAAAAGAATATCAAGTGCCTGTTGAATTTGTTTTTAATTTAAATTTAATATAATTTAACTTTTCAATTTCATTTATTACATATTACTATAAGAAAAATTATGATTGAATTTTAGTTCTGAAATTGAAGCATAATCATATTAAATAGCCAGATATAATTCAGCAATCATTTGGCTTTAAACTAATAAAAAATTTCAGTTTAAATATTTGTTATATTTCCCTTAATTACTTTCCCTATAATTTATGCAAAAGTTATGAAACAAAATTTTTACAAGTTGATTTTTAAAAAAGTTTCCAAAATAATTTCAGATTTTTGCCTTACCTATGCAAATTTATTAAATCTAAATTAGAGTTCATATTTTTCAATTTTCAATGGTTTTCATTAATTACAAATGAAAGAATTTCAGTATTTTATAATATAATTAAGTCAAATTTGTTTTTGAATACCTTTATATAAGTTTATACACATTATAAAATGCTTTCAATAAATTTATATAAATTTTCAGAAAATATTTGTATATTCACATAATAAAGCTAATTTTCATACAAAAATAAAACTAAGAGTAAATACAAATTATTGCATGCATTCTGTAAACTTTCAATCTTTCTATACAATATCAACTGTTTATTTCAGATTCACATGATTTTATAATTATTATTTTTCAACTAAGATATAAAATAGTTTCTTTTAACATCTACATAAATTACTACATAACTCTGAAATGAATAAAATTTTATCTATTTGATTGACTAGCCATATATTGTATACAGGCAAGCATGCACAAGTGCATAGGTCATACTCTAAGTGCAAAATAGTAATAAATTCTTTTGTTGAAGTTATTAAATTACCTTAAATTAAGCTACAAGTTATTAAAGTTTTGAACTAAATGTAACTCCAAAAAATAAATTTATCTTGAAGTAATTTGCTGTGCTATGCAGAATTCAATATAAATAAAACATATATCATCATTACTCAAATTTTGTACTCACAATTTTTGTGCAGCTATGTCTTCTATTAATTGTGTCTTAGTAAAATCAGTGGTTTCATTACAATCTGCAATATTTAAATCTGAATTCAGCAGTTGTTCTTTATTATCTATTAAAGTATCATGTTGCATCGTGTCAGTAAAAGATGATGTACTGTAAAGATATAAAAGAATTATATCTAAATACAGTCATGAAATAATAAATGCATTCAGATGCTGTATTTAAAAGTATATTATAATACCAATCACAATTGAAGTGATAATATCTTCTAAATTCCAGCAAAAACAAGATTTAGTCAGAACAAATATTTTTGGCCTTATCCAAAAGTCCTTTTCAAGCTACAATATTTTAGAGCATATTATAAAGTTGGCCATTATTTTAGACAGTCTATTTAAATGTTGAGGCTTACTTTTGCAACATAAATCAAAGACAACTAATTGAAAGTCAAATGTAATGTCAAAAATATAAAATAAAATGAGCAATTACTTATTGTGACATAATCACTACACTAGGCTGAAATTTTTAATCACATTTTAATTTTAAAAATCATGGGAATATACAAACTTCCTGACCAGACAGGAAGTTTGAACCAAATATTGCTAATCTTGCTAAGGGTCATCAAGCTTATCTGTCTCATTGATTGTCAGTTACAAAAATTATTAACATATATACAATAAATGTAAATGTCTTAGTCATAATCCGCTGGTGCCAACTAAGGATGCCTTCCTCTTATAAAGAGGCTCACAAGTAACCGTGGATGGTTATATTTAAATATGTCTGGAAGTGGAGATCAGACTGTAAGCTCTTGTAGCATAACTGGCAATACATCTGCACAGTAAATCAGCAGTTGCAGGTTAGAGTCCCACTTCAGGCAGATTTTTTTCTTCCAGAATTTTCTGAATTATTTAATATTAACTAAATTATAATTATTAAATTTAATAAGAGATGGTGCCTAACACCTACCACTAGTGCCAAATTACTCAGTAATTATTAATAGTAGTGATAATATAACCCTATTTAACCCAGCAATTGCTTGGATTCAATATAGCTAGAGTTTTATAGCAAAAATTATCACTGCAGAAAATATTTAATGTATAACTGCAAAAAATGTACAGCTGAGAAATATACAAACAAAGCTAAACTTAAAGAATTCCCAAACTTTCATGACTTTCCGATAAATAATTTTTGCTGTAACCAGCTGGGAAATGTCAAGTTTAATTTAGGACACACTGTATATTTACATAGGTAAGCAAATGAGTTTGCAAGTTTATAAAATTTTTTTTATCTTGGAACATCTCATTATATTGTATTATAATATTCTAAATCTATTTACACCATTTTGAATGACCTCTTCTGATAGAGCCTAACTTTGGCATAAATTAATGGTTACACACATTTATATCTATAATACTCAACCAAACAATTACCCAAAATAATTGGATTATAAATTTGCTATTATTAATGATTAGATATTAAGTAATTTGGTACTAGAGGTAGAAGTTAGGTGACATCGCTTATATAACTTAATAATTGCAAATTTTAATAATTTGTGAAATAATTTAGAACCATCTGAAAGAAAAGAACTTGCCTGGAGTGGGACTTGAACCAACCTCCACTTACCACACAGTGCACTTGCCACTTACACCACCTGGATCTCAAGCAATTCTTCACTTCCAGACATATTTAAACTTTAGATATAACCATTCACAGCAATGGCTGGGTATGACTTATGTCCATGACCTAAGTACACTTCCACTCAGCCAGCACTTTACCTGCCATGGTGTATGTGATATATATACAGTAGAGCGTCAATTTTCCAAAAGTCAATCATCCGAAAGATTTCCAGTCGGCAAATTTAAATTTTCGCCAGTGCTGTGGAGCTTCAATCTTGGCTATGTCTTGGGCTACTCAAATATTTTACGTTTTTGATACTAAATTAACATCTGAAGTATAATTTTTTATTGTTTTTATATTTTTCAATATATTTATTTTGTTTGTACAAAATAAAAAAATTATTTTTAACGATACAATAGTCTTTGTTAGGCTTAACATCGACGAAAATTCAATGCAAAGCGACACGCAATGGAGAAAAATTTCAACATTGGATACATTAAACTATTTTTCGTACATAAATCGATTATCCGAAATATCAGTTATATGAACAACCCCAGTCCCCAATTGATTCGGAAAATCGACACTCTACTGTACATATATAATAAACACCCAAAACTCAGTACATTAATGGCACTGAGAATAACCATAAATGATTATATCTCTAAAGTTTAAACATAACTGGAAATGAAGAACTGCTCAGAAATCTGAATGGCATAACTGGCAAGCATACTGCACAGTAAGTGAAGGTGGTAAGTTCAAGTCCCACTCTGGACTAATTCTTTTCTTCCAAATGATTCTAAATTATTCAATAAATTATTGAAAATTAATTATAATTTAGATAAAAGATGGCACCTAATGTCTACCTCCAGTACTAGATTGCATACATTTAACATTATGTGTATATATATATATATATACACACACACCATATTTTTGTGGAATAACCCAGCATACCATCTATCCGGGAAGACCACGAAATCAGATATTTCTATATGGTAATAGCCAGCATGGCAGTTTATCCCAGGGGGAATGCCAACATGCCAGTTTAAGTGAGGTTATACATCTCTCTCTACAGGGCACATGAAAAGAACGAACAAAGTTTTTATTCTAAAACTGTGAATTTGTCAGCATAACATCAAAAACTACAATTATATGTTCAATTTCTTCACTGTCTTCTTTCTAACAATGTAAAATACTTGTGGAATTCCAAAAGTGCTTTTTTTTAGTTTATTTTATTGTAATTTGATTCAAATACAAAAATAAACATATTTAAGAAACTCCCTGTAAATTATCTCAATTTACACACATTAACATTCACTTTGTATGAAATTTGAGAAGGTGGTATTTTTAAGATCAAATCAGGTAATGGTCAGTGTAGCCCACACTAACTACTACTATTAACATCAATGAGTCATTGTTTTATTGTCTTGTAAATGAAAACTCTGATTTTAAGTCAGTCAAATTACATTATTGTTTTATTGTACCCTGAAGAATGTTTTATTTAATGTTTAATTAACAACTAGTTTTGTTAGATTTTATATTTTAATCATGGTTTAACCAGAATGCTGGAAATCCTGGAATTACTAACATGCTGGTCATTCTGCAATACAAATACAGTATATAAATGAGGTTGTTTGTTTGCTATGAACACCTATGCCATTTGACCAATTACTAAGAAACTTGGCAGTTATGTTAACACACTTCTAACTTATATAATGTCATTTATTCCATACCAAAATATTGATTGGATTTCTATATATCAACTCAACTAATTTCTATCTACATGCCATTTGCAGGTTTACACATAGTGCCATCTATTAGCAAAAAAATTTAAGAAAATAATAAGCTAAATATAATTCTTAAAACAGATATAATTTTTTGAAATATGTATTATATTCATTTAATCAGTGCAACAGTGATATAGCATGAAACAGACATACTACATCATTACTGTGACAGATGGCACATAGCACTCGCCTGCATGGAATAGAAGTGTTAACCTGTGAAAAATTGCAAAGTATTTAATTTTCCATATCTAAACTTGGGTTTTTTCATTTCTGAACAGTACTTTCTTAATTCTAATAAGTGCCTTCCAGTAGCTGAGTGAATAAAGCCATCAAACATTGGTAGTCAGTCTTGGGTTTGGGCATGGCCAACAAGCTCACTACATGGAGTTTTCTGGGTTTCTTCACATTACTAACACCTAAATAGGGACTAGCTTCACATAAAAATCTTACTGGAATGCATCCCCTCAACAGATTGCTCAAGTATCATGTTGCCATAACTAATTAAACCAAACTAATTATAATAATTTTTCTATAAATGTGATATTTATGAGGAGATACTTATCATGTAATTTGTACAATCTGTTGCAAAAATATAAACACTATCTACTATATATAAAGCTGAAAAACCGGATTCTTTCTGTCACTGTAAGCCAAAAACGGCCACTAGGGGTGCCCTGCCNGCCCCTAGTGGCCGTTTTTGGCTTACTAGCCCCTAGGTATTACTTACATTAATAATAAATTCAGTATATTATTATTTCATACAGTTTTTTTGCGTTTTTGGCTGCATTTTAGTAGGGGTATGCCATGAGAAATTCAAATTATTATTATTTTTATTTGTAATAGGAATTTATTATTTATATCATGGAATGACACTGCTGCTGCTAGAATGCCCACTAGGGGCATCCTGGGCTACTAGAACAGAAGGATTGGAAGTATGGAATAATCTAATAATCTTTGTTGTTTTTTGCCCGGGCAATGCTAAGCTCATCTGCTGGTCATCACATAAAACCAATTATTCTTGTATTTTTATAAGGTTTTTTTTTTTTAAATAAGTCTTAAGAAGTCTTTTGGACATTAAGGTTAGCAACTTCAATCTCATGCAGGGCCATCCCAATCTGTTCAAAACAGATCACTTTTCAAATATTAATAGTAGACCAACATTAGTTAGTTGTTGACCATCCTCTCTTCCAGGAAGAGGTCAACAACTTCTTTTGGTCAAATTACATGTACACTTATGTTCTTTGAGCTTCTTTTGAAAATTATTTTTAATTTTAATTAATTATTTAATTTTAATTAATAACCTACAAAAATTTTTGCAGCATACTAGTTGAAAATTGCTGCTCTCACTAAATACACTCATTAACAGCAACATCAAAAACCAGCATATAAAATAACAGAGTTAACATTTTGACAGTGTGATTTAGTCATTTTGTTTAGTTTTATCTTAAAATCATTAAAACAATGATTTAATAGTTAATTATTTTAGTTACACTAATATAGAAATAACAACAAACTAACTATTTTAAAACACTGAAATATCTACAATCATTTAAATTATATAACTTTTAAAAGTTGTACAATAATTTGAGTATATACACCATATTAAATATTAAACAAGTGATAAATATTAAAAAAAATACTGAAAATACTAAAATAAAATATTTTCAATTTTCTGAAACCATTACTACTAACTTGACAATTTTACAAATTTTTTGATATTTATCATCTCAATAATTGCTATCTTAAAATTGATATTTTAACTTTGCATTTAAGATGAAAAAATTTCTTTTTGATAGGAGGGAGGAAAAAGTTATTTTCCATGACAAAAATATTTTAAATTTAACATTCCATTATATTAATAATATACACTATCAAAAAATAATTTTCACATTTCTTAATTTACAACAAATAAACTCAGATATAATAAATAACTTACTTATTCATTATTATTGAAAATAAATACTTTTTATAATGAAATAATTTAGTCAATTTTAAGCATTGACTTTTATAATATATTAAAAACCTCAGATTTGCATTTAATTTTCTCATTTACCAAATTTCTGCACAGAAAACTTTTATAAAATTAAAGCTTTTTTTTATTTCAAGTTTATTATTTTTAATAATAGTTTACCAAAATCACTGAAGTTACTGTATCAATACATTTAATTTACATTGACACAACAGTACAGTGCTGAAACTACTGACACACAAGAATAAACTCATATGCAAGGTAGGCTCTTATAAGCAAAGCAGGATGTTTCAAAAACACAAAACCAAGCAATTTTCACATGCTCTTATATGGCAATACAATAAGTTTTTCTTTATTCATGCATGTAATTTTACTGGAATTATTTCTACCCAACATCACATTTTTCCATCCAAATTACATAAAATTTCAGCTATTGTTGCTATTTCTTGCATTAATATAGAATGATAGAAGGAACATTTTTTAACATGTCATAGATAGAAACTATTATAAAGGTTTTGGATTTCATATTTGAAAATTAGTTAATTCATATCAAATGAAAACTTTGGCTGCAACCTCACTAATAATGAAAATAAGCAAGCTTTATTAGAACTTTCAAATGTATATAAAATGCATGCAAAATATTTGTTAATTGATTTTATATTTAAAATTTTGAATACTTGTTAAAAGTTAAAAATATGAGTAAACTGACCAATATATACACAGTCTCACACCACACACAAGAAATGATCATATTCTTAAAGAAAATCACTGATTACAAAATTTTGCACAATAGAAACTTCAGGACTCAGGAGAAATATGTTAGGAGAAGAACATTCAAAATGTTTTGTAACATTGTCAATCTTAAAGCTTCTCAAATACTTAATTCTCTCACTACTTTGACATGTTTGAGATGCTATATCAAATATTTTTCTCAAGAAAAGTACATAAATTCAAGAAAACTGCAGGACCTGTATAGCAATGCAAGGAAATTGGAGTAAGATGCAGTGTGAGTTTTACCTATTCCTCTGAGTCACTGAAAGTTAAGCTTAATGCCATTTTTTGTATTCATGTAATGTTACTTGATATTGACAAAGCATATTAGCTCAAACATTTTTATGAGGTGACTACAATTTAATATCTTAGCAATTTTATGGCTGTTTATCTACTACATGTGGACAACTCTGTATATTATAAATACACATAATACAATAGATTGTATTGAAAATTTCTTAGTATTTCTTAGAATAAATACTAAGAAATTTCTCATTCTATACTAATTTATCATATAGAATGAAAGGCTATTAATAATAAAAATGCATAACTCCTGAGATACAAATTTTCAATTTAAATGTTTGTTCTTAAGTTCACATTATACAAAATATCTCATCTAATATAAATTTGGATTTATTGAAGAAATGTGCTATTAACATTACTTAAAATTTAGGTTCAGTATGATCCTAAAGAGTGTAAGGAAGTTTGTATTAGTAAAACTAAAAGACTCCAAATATTTAACAAAAATCTGTGTTCTTTTACGTAACAATTTAAATCCATAAATCTTGACACAAAATTGATGTTTCCAACAAAAATTATTCAAAATGAGCAAAAATTATTGTGACATCATCAGAATGTCACGCAATTTTTAATCATATTTTTAATTTATTTAAAATATACAAGGGTAGGCTGAAAAGTAATGCACACATACTTGTAGAGAACATGAACAAAAGAAAATAGCAAGACTGAGCAAAAAGTACATTAAAGTAAATTTCTTAAGCTTCAAAATCATATATTTATTTTTCAACATAGTCACTGTTAAGGCTAACACATTTCTCCCAACGTGTAACAAGCCTTTTCATTCCTTCTCTGAAAAATTCTTCCGACTTTTCTCAAATCCAGGACTTGACAGCTGCCTTCACCTCATCATCCAAGGTGTAATGATTATCCTTGAGGTCTCTCGAGTAGAAGAAAAAATAAAAACCGCAAGGCGCAAGATTGGAGGAATAAGGAGGGTGTGGAATCTGTTCAAACCTCAGGTTTCACAGAGCCTCTCCAATTGCACACAAGGTGTGTGGATGAGTGTTGTCATGTTGCAATATTATTGGTGCCAGGCTCAACGTTGGAGATGTTTTAGAGTCTGTATGTACTGAGAAGAATTCACCGTTGTCCCTTGTTCCAGAAAATTGGTCACAAACTCAGTGAACATCCCAAAACAGTCAAAAGAAGTTTTTTGCAGATGATTGTGTTTTGAACTTTTTCGCCTGAGGAGAAGACGGATGTCAATATTCAGCACTCTGTCTTTTCTCTTCTGGGTCGTAATGATGGACCCATGACTCATCCCCCGTCACAATATTCAAAAGAAAGTCATTTCAATCATGGGAGCGCCAAAAAAGATGCTCACAGCATTCCTATCGATGCTGTTTGTTCTCATCTGAGAAGGTGTGGTACCATCGTGCACAGATTTTATAGTATCCCAATTGTTCAATAATGAAGCCGACGCATTCCTTGAATATTCCAATATGGTTTGTGATATGCTTTTGAGTGATCCACCGGTCATTTTGAATCAAATTGTCAACAAGTTTGCGATATTTATCGTCTGTGGCAAAGATCAGACGTCCGCTGTGTGTTTCATCAACAATTATGGCGTTTCCAGGTTAGCAACCACAAAATTTTATTACCCACTGATTTACAGTAGGCCTATCAACAGCATCGTCACATAAACAGCCTTTAAACAATGATGAATCTCAGTAGGAGTCACTTTTTCAGCAAAAATTTGATAACAGCATGCTGTTTAACTCTCGTTGATATAGCATTAGAACATGTCTCCATACTTCTGCTCCTCGAAATACACTGGATGAACGCAATGACCTCAGACCTGAGCATGCGTATAGAGGGGTAATGTTACTTCCACATACCACTCGGTGTGCTTCTGAAGGCCATTTCACTCACACTCTATGAGCATGTGTGCATTAGTTTTCAGCCTATCCTAGTACATTCTTCACCTCAAATTATTAGTGTCTTGCCCCTGTACATCATATTTTTCCTGTTAGCAACAGTGTCATGTGAGTCATGTAACTCTGTTCATGAAAAAATTTTTCAATGACTTCCAGTGCAAACCAGAAGTTCATATGTAATTAATTGGGACCTCTTGCCCCTAAGCCTTCCATATCTAGTCATGACTTCATTTAACTAACACCATTCTCAAGATTAATTAAGGAAGGACAGACAGATGACAGTTGAAATTTGTGTCTCTAAGTTTTTGAAATTTTAAGTAAAATCATCATTTATGAAATAAAAAGCAACAACGTGCATATATGATATTAAAAAACTTTAATAAATTATTAGATTACTTCTACGTTACTGTAATTCCAGACATTGATTTCAAATAATTAAAGCATTTTTTAAAAATTGAAATAATATACTCACTTTTCTAAATCTGACATAGCTAACAGCTCTGGAAGAAACCTGCAATATTAAATATTTTGAAATTTTATTTTCAAGTTTTAGTAATAGTAAACATTTTAATATAATAATTTAACTTAAACATAGTTTAGGTTATTAGTTCAAAAATGAAGTTTAGTATAAATCCTTATAGCCTAAATGAAAATTTTTCAATAAAATTTACATAACCACAAAATACCAAAAAAAAATCCAGTAACATTGAAAACAACTAACATTTTCAATTACTTTTACTAGTCACATCCTTAGTCAAAATTAAAAGCAGGCAATTTTTACTAAATTTGTTTTATGTTATAAAGTTTATCATGGAAATTCTTCAAGATTGTTTTTAAAAACTTGAGCAATATTTTATACAAAATAAATGTAATCAATAATAATATGATTATGCTGAAACAATAATGTTATCAACCAAATTGACTTGACAACAGCAACCGATTCATCAGGAGAAAAATTATACCAAAAATAACAGCACTTTAAAAACAAATTTATTAGAATTCAATTTATTTTCAATGCCTTGCTTCAAAACTTTTGAATTTCTGAAACTATATTTGTTTTGACATATATTAGAGAAATCAAATGATCAAAAAAAATTTATTTAAAAGGTCTATAAAGCTCATTTTTCCTTTCTGTATGAGTTAAACAAGCTTTATTTGCTTTAGCCAATTCAATATATTTTTAGGTATTTCACTTTATAGTTTTCTAGAAATTATCTATACAAATTTAAATTCTGATTTTAAGTATTGTTTCTCCTCTCAGTTAGTCTAAATATTTAAATTCAAATGCATCAAATTTAAACAAAGCCTTTTAAAACTCAACTTTTATGCTTATTAAAGTAACCATTAATAATGTTAAATTCTTGCAGTTCTATAATACTGCATTCATAAGAAAAAAAAACTAAATTCTATCAGTTTCTAAATCAGCATCAGTTAATAATTAAAAGCATTATATGGGATGGTTTCAACTATGGAGACAACATTCAAATGCAGATTCTTGTCAATGAACAAAAATGGTCTTAATGTATATCTAAAAATGCACTGGTACAGAGATAGGCCTGACCCCCCTTGATTTTTACTTGAGACATCAAAAAGTCTCATGTATACTGAACCAGTCTCTGATGGACATTGGAGCAACACACACATCCAAATAGCATTACAGGTAGAATTTAAGCAGAAACATTTGAAAAGATGCATCAGTCTATGATGCATACAATAGCTTCCATTAATTAAGGGCCATGGAAAACACTTCAAACATCTACTGTAATTCTGCCAGAGGTACAGTACATATGCCATACCATTCCATAATTTTATATCATGTGTGTGCAGCTTATGATAACTAGTACAGTATCTGGAAATGATGAATTTTTTGACATGTTAATAGGATTGCTTTTGTTCTTTTTTCCTAACAGCAATCTATTCTCAGTTTGTTTCCAAGTTTGGAACCATCCTGTATATCCACATAATTACTTATTGTATATTTTAAATCATGTACAGAGTAGATTACTCTGTACATGTTACTTGCTTTTTCATCTAATCCAATATACCAATCAAAAAATTTAAGGAATGATACAACTTAAGAATTGTTTAATACTTTTCCTCCATATTACTTTCATCAAAGTTTTACAAGTACTTCTGATTAAAAGTTTATCATCACAGTTAACCATTTGAATTTCTTTACTTCTTAATACAGTGGTAACTCAGGATACAAACGCCCCAACATACGAAATTTTCAGGATACAACATGAAATTCGAACATATTTTTGCTCCACGATACGAACAAAACTCACCATACGACATTACATTAGTTCGCGGCACCATTTTTTATTCACTTCTGTTCATCGGTCTCGGTCTGCATGTTTGCTTCGTCGTGGAAGGATCTCGCTTGATAAAGGAAATCTTGAGGTATTATCAGAAAGTGACTGATTTTATTGAAAAGAAACATCCCGAAAAGGTTCACACTGGCCATATTGCTGCTCGGTGTAATGACATTTGCCTAAAGCCCTGGTCACACTATGCAATTTCTAGCCGCGCAGGCGACTGCAACTGCAACAAGCGCGAGTTGCACGCGTCTTCTCGTGGTCACACATTGTTCATTGACGTTGCAACTTGAAAACACGTGACCCTATAATAAACCAATAAAATTACAGTAGCTTGTTTTTGACTACTTTCGTGAGTTTGCCGATATTTTACAATCTACGTCAGAGTATTTACGGAATTTTAGCCACTTTTCTTATTAAAATAGCAAGCAGTTCCTTTTCTGGAATGAATAAAAGAAAAAAGGCGATTATTTTTAATAGAGCTGGCGAAAATACATGAAAAGATAAAATCTTCGATAAAACGAAGAATTAAAATCCCATAGGTATTCGTGAGCCTGAATAAGCTCGATCAATCTTGATTCTGTAAAAGTATTAATCCTCTGACTATCCGCCATGATGATGAACTATTTTCAATGTTGTCACTGTATGACGTAGCATAAAGGCGTTTGTTGATTGGATGCGCGTTTGCAATCATCGCGAGTAGAACAAACTTTTTGTTTCTAGTTGCGATTGCAGTCGCACCGGTTTTTGAGGGGGGATTACTAGTTAACAGGAACAGCCATAGCGGTTGCAGTCGCTTGCGTGGCTGGAAATCGCATAGTTTGACCAGGGCTTAAGTCATTTTAGAAACATTTTAAAAAGTAGGCAAAGCCAAACCTCTTTGGATAGATATTTTACCAAGCAAACTTCTATTCAGTGAAAATGCTGGTGGAAGTGAAGGAAAGAAAGCAAAAAGCAATGAATAAAAATTAAAAAATATATATATAAAACAACACTAANGACATTTGCCTAAGTCATCTTAGAAACATTTTAAAAAGTAGGCAAAGCCAAACCTATTTGGATACATATTTTACCAAGCGACTCTATTCAGTGAAAATGCTGGTGGAAGTGAAGGAAAGAAAGCAAAAAGCAATGAATAAAAATTAAAAAATATATATATAAAACAACACTAATTTTTTAATCTTTTCTAAGTTATTTTTAAGTTATTGTTACATTATGTTATGTAAGTTAAGTTTTAGTATTATTTCCCTTCTCCGCCACCAGTTTACACCTCCACCATTGTCTATCCTCAAAGGTAAAGTGCATAAAACTACATTTTTTTAAATGAATTATTATTCTATTATGGTTATTTATATATGTACAACTACAAAATGCATTTTTCAGTTTTCCTTACTATATTTATTTATTTTTTTAATGTACTACTTAACTTTAATTTGAGTGTGTTTTTCGTGTTGGAACGAATTTTTTGTTTTTACATGTAATCGTATGGGGAAAAATGATTCACCTTACAACATTTTCATGATACGATCTCAGTTTCGGAATGGATTAATTTTGTATCCCGAGGTACCACTGTATAATTATATTGACATACTGTATCTGCAGTTAAACACTGGTTTTTAAGATATCTCCCATAAATGTAAAGACACTAACAGATTTCCATGTAGATTCAAGACATACTATTAATGGACAAGGAAGTAGGAACAGTATTGTATTACAAGAACTTATACCCTTCCATAAAAAATCAAATCTTGCATGTAAGCACTTTTAGAATTCATGATTAGTAAGAACCATGAATTGATTCATTACAACGAGGTAATAGAGCTGGCTAATCTAATATGTTACAAATCTTACTTCAGCTTTAATAACCAAACAATACAGGCAAAAAAGGGAACTCCCCAATGGGAAGTCCACTATCAGGATTATTGTGTGAATTGGTGGTTAGAAAGCTGAAGGACAGTGTTCTTTGTGATTTCAGAAATGATATTGTATATTTTAAAAGATATGTACACAATGTCTTCATATTATGGAAGAATAAACAAAAAATTAATGAATTCATTGATAAGATCAATAATAATGACAATGGTCTAAAATTAAGAATGGAACAGAAAAGTTCCTTAATGATATACTTTTTTAGATATAACATCAATTCAAAAAAGGACATTTAGCCACCAATGTGTACATCAAACCAACATACAGCCCGCTTTACATCCCCTCGCAATTGAACGATCCTTACTGATATAAGCTAGCAGCATTCCAAGCTCTAATTAGAAGGCATTTCTATATTGTCATAGTGTCGTGGACAGAGAAAAAGAGATCAGCAGAATTATGCAGATGGCTGAAACCCTAGGATACAAAATAGGCACAATAACAGGAATGATTAAAAGATACGAGATGGGCACAGAAAAGGCTTCAAAACATCTTAGTAAAATCACAAAGTTCACATATAACAAATGCAAAAGGAATTATGAAAGAAATTGTGGATCACAAGGGGTCAAAAGAAAAGAGCTCCGAACTTATATAAAATGACAAAGATAACATTAAAAAAGAAGAAAAAACAGGTATGTACAAGATACCTTACAAAAATGTACAACTATGAATCAAGAAAAACTATATTGGTGTTATAACAAGAAATTTGGGAGTAAGGCTTAAAGAACACAAGTATAATGTCAAAAAAGGATCCAACACTACAGTACTTTCCCAGATGGTGCAGACTCAAGGCTCTATGTAAAATGGGATGAAGTGGATATTGTCAAACCCTTGCACTCCCCAACATTAGCAATGAGCACTGAGAAAATTGAAATTTATAAAAGCAAACTGGAAGAGGCTTGTATCCTTGCGAGGAACACTGAACGTTTACCATCTGCATGGAAATATATAGTTAAAAACTTTCCATGAACTCCTAATTTATGTCTTAGTTTACAATTTCATATTTTATGAATGTATCTTAATAATTTCTATTAATGTTTGTTTAAGGTATTATTACTAAATTTTTATTTTTATTAATATATCAGACTTTGTTTTTCTTTTATATTTATACATATAGTTTTTCTGTTATTTTCTTATTTTCTGTTGTTATTTTTTGTATTTAAATTTATATATTCTATTTTGGAACACCAATATTCTAATCTGATTTAACCTGAGAATAGCCTATTGAATAGGCTGAAAACATTAGTTTGATTTAATAAATTATCTT